GAAGGATGCAATTCCTGGAAAACAAGGCAGAAGTTGGACACACAACATTAAAGACTCATTTGCTATGAAAGTACAGAGGGCTGGAAAAATGGCAAGAGAAAGAAAGGCTTTGGGCGTGCCGGGAAGAAAGCAACGTTCTGTAGATGACCTGATGTTTGATGATGATAAATGACTAACGAGACCGTGTGATCCCCAACTAAGGTGAACTGCGATGACCGCAGTCCAGATGACAGCAAGAACCTTGGTCCGAATGTCTGATTGTATTTATGCTCGTATTTTCCGTTACCTCCTGTGAGTTTTCTATGGTGAGTATAGACAATCTACCAACAACACCTGAATGCTTACACTGTATAGCAAAATTAGTCCCGTGATGCTGACCGTATCACCCATCTTGTGCCGTTGGTCTGTAAATATAGGCCTAGCTGTATATGCCCTATAGGCCTAAAATCGTGAAAATGGGTCCTCTCCTTTTTTTTTATACAATTGGACAGCCAGAGTAACTAACAACGACTGCTTGAAAGAAGCTAATGAAAGTAGATCTCTATATACAACAATAAGAAAGAGACAAACACTGTTCTTTGGCCACATAATCAGAAGAGAGACATTGGAAAACATCGTGACAACTGGAAAAATCAGTGGGAAAAGGGGGCAGAGGCTTACCAAGAGAGATGATGCTGGATGGGCTGAAATGATGGTATGGAGGGATATCACCAAGAGAGCTGTTTCAGGCAACCAGGGATCGTGATTTGTGGAGACGCATGAGCGCCTACACCAGTTGGCAGGGCACATGATTATGATACCGTAAAGAACCATTATCTTGTAAAGGTTAAGAACCCGTACCAAGTAAAGAGCACGTTCAGTTGAACGTGCTCGAATTTTTCTTTCCCAGAACGGTAACGTTTACCATGCCCTCATGCATAGTGGGCATAGAGCACCAGAACTATATTTGACAGACCAGTCGGCACTTGGGGGGGGGGGGGGCGGTTCAGATGTGGTCAACATCAAACCGACCACCTTTACGTCCCATTCAAGGCTAGATCAGCGTGGGAGTCAAGTCATATTTGGAGAGGAAAAAATGTCCTGTTCTGCCAGGATCTGACCCCACAACCTTCTAATTCATAGGGCGTGCGTCTAGTCACAACAAGCTTTACCTTGCACAATTTACCGTAGAGCAATACTACCTTGTATAACATCATTGATTTGTAATAGCAACGCTGTTTTGTAAGCAACAATTGACCGTAGAGCAATACTACCCTGTATAACATCATTGATTTGTAATAGCACCGTAGAGCAACATTGCCCTTTATTGCAATATTATTTTGCTTTAGTATTTTTATAACCCGAGTTTAAAACAAAAATGTGCGTGTGTGTGTGCGAATGTGTATAAATGTGTGCGTTTGAAAGAAAAGCTGATAAGAAATCGAACCAACCACCTCACACAGGATCTCAGGACTTATGGTCACTTCTCAGAGACAGAGGGAAGAAGAAGGAGAAAAAGAAGAAGAAGAAGAAGAAGAAGAAGAAGAAGAAGAAGAAGAAGAAGAAGAAGAAGAAGACGAAGAAGAATAGAAAAAGGAGGAGAAGAAGAAGAAGAAGAAGAAAAAAAAGAGGAAAAGAAGAAGAAGAAGGGGATGAGGCGGAGGACACGAAGAAGAAAAAGAAGAATAACAGAAGAAGGAGGAGGAGGAGAAGAAGAAGAAAAAGAAGAAGAAGAAGAGAAGAAACAACAGAAGAAGAAGGGGAGGAGGCGGAGGACAAGAAGAAGAAGAAGAAAACTGTACCTACCCCGTTCTCCAGATTTATTTGGCAGATTCTGTTTCTTGTCCAGCTCCGTTTGGTCACTATCTGCCACTGTTATCTGCCACAGCATCGTTGCTTAAACAAACAAAAAAATTATAATAAACAGGAGATGGAAAGCAGTTCTTGGCTATATATTTGAACAAGGATGATACAAACAATCTGCATAACTTTTTTGTTGAAACCTGGACGCAACATATTAATAATAACATCTTCGTAGGAATATTTTAACAGTTTTTATCCTGCTTTTTTTTTTTTAAACGGTAAATAAAAAAAATAAAAAACGATTTAGAGGAAACAAACAGCATACTCATAGTTGACTGAGTAATGGGAACTTTTCAAAACATCAAACTGCACGCTTGTTACAAGTGATACTCTCACGTGTTTATCTACAACGTTAGTCTCCTGTGAGTTATGGATTTTTCATTGTACACCGGATAGGCTATAAAAATAATCAGGTGAACTGATTTTCAAGCCATTTAGAAGAGAATTATAGGTAAAGTGGACTCTTTTCCGCGTCTTCTGGTGTATTGGGTATGTAGTGGTAGACATGCCTTGTATGGACCAATCGGCACTCAGCAACGCTAATAGCAAACACATGCATTAAATGCAGCTACAAAAAATACCGACATAACATGACCCTTGACCCGTTAGGGTCGTGGAGGTGTATCGATGGAAGCATTACCACATAAAACCTGCCATCTTTCTCTGTCTTCTGCTTGTGTATGAACAAGTGTATGATAACTTAGTCCTGTCCATTTCTTGATATCATTTCAGGTTCTTCTCTCTTCTTCGTCGACTACACTTCCCCCCCCCCTCTTTCAAGTACCAACACAAACAGTTTGGTACTAGAAATAGTTCGTTGTCGATGCAACCAGCAGTAACAATAGATCAGTAGTTGCACACGCAATTAATCACATAAGGCACCACCATTTCTCATTAGACATGACACACCGTTGGCACAGAAACAAATTACTAATGCAACTTACAGGAATAAATAAGTGCTGGAAAAGGAAACGTGGGTTCGTTCCTCTGTTGTGCTGTCTCTACTAGCAGCCTCAGTGGGCCTTTAGGATACAGAACAGCAAATAGATCTGAAAATTTAAGCAGAACATCATCATCATGATCCTCATCATCCATCTACAGTGATTTTTATATGTCACATAGGGCTCGTAGTCTAATTCTCAGATTTTGTTATATCCTGCACAATATTACCTATATCATGTAATGAATCCATTCCAAAACTGTGGTCTCTTTCATTAACATATGTCTTTGGTAGCTCTTGGACCTTCAAGTTTCCTTTTCTGTTTATTTCTCAGTTCAGTGCCTGTCAGGCAATCCTCTGTCCTCAGGATGTACAAGATTTATCGCCACCTTGTTTGTCTCATAACTGTTAAAAACCAGTGATTGTCCAGGAATCTCTCTTATTCAGGCACTTCAAAAACTCATTTTTCTTTAACTTTCATTCCATATTTGTAGCTGTGAAGAGCTGATACACAGCAAAAAGATTAACGAAACCATCACTTAAGCCACTTTTGAAGCGCAAGACGAATACAGAAAACCAACACTTTGTTACAAGACAGTATAAAGTTTAACGACAAAAGAAGAAGAAGAAAGACGTGTTCTCAAACTTTGAATGGTATATGTGAAATACAGATAGAGTATGCCCAGACTAAATTACGTTCCTGTTTTTCCCCAGCAAATTTGCCACTCTTCTTCGACCTCAAGTGGGCTGGAGAACATTAACATTTTATACAACATAATCCAGGTCTTCATGAGCAGACGATAGACGCAGACAGTTCTATATATGTTCCAAAAATTGTAACATATCACACAACATAATCAGGGCTTGCATAAACATATAACAGACCTAGACATTTCTATATGCGAGTCCAAGAACATTAACACATCTCACAACATAATCTAGGCTCATATGAACAGATGATAGACGCAGATATTTCTATATATGTGTTTAAGAACATTAACACATCTCACAACATAATCTAGGCTCATATGAACAGATGATAAGACGCAGATATCTCTATATATGTGTTCAAGAACATTAACACATCACACAGCATAACCTAGGCTTGCATACAGTGCTGAATTTAGGTATAAGCTAAACAGACTACAGCATACGGCCTGGCCATCTGCAGGAGCCTAACAGAAATTTTCATAACACGTTCATTTCCTAACCCCCCCCCCCCCCCCCCCCCCCCCCCCCCCCCATCATAAACGTGATTTTCTTAATATATTATATCCTACCCCCCCCCCCCCCGCAGGCTTTATTTATTCCAGCTTGTGTAGCCAATTTAAATTAAACAAATTAATCAGCTTGCAATACGACAACCTCTGCTTTGTATTAATTTGGGCGATCTCAGACACTCATTTTGTAAAGACATTCTTCATTAGTTCTGGTAATAGTAATTATTCAAAGGTTTCATTCCACGCCTGTGGCGCAGAGCCGGCCAGTCTATCTGCCTGCTCATTTCCCAACACACTGGCATGACCTGGGGAAAATATCCAAAGGATGCTAACTACCCGAGACCTCTGAAGTGATGCTTGCCACTCTGCACGACGCAAGCTCAGCATGCTCTGTGAATCAGTTACAATCACAGCATGTGTGTACAGCTGATTCTCATGCCAGAGGAAGGCAACAGAGACTACCTCCACCTCCATTCTCAAACTAGACGTTGTGATATCATATGCAAGGCTTTGCTGCGCTAAGCGACGTCCATGCGCCTTTGCTATGAACCCCCCATGCACTTTGTCTGCACCTCAAAAGAGAGCCATCTTCTTGTCGTTTCTTGTTATTGGTAAACAATATGGATATTAAAATGATAATTTTGCAAAGACATTCTTCAATATTTTTGTTAATAGTAATTAATCAAAGGTCACATTCCACGCCTGTGGTGCATACATAATACGATGCTAGACTCATAGATCATACGATGGATAGACTCATTGACCATACGATGATAGACTCATAGATCATACGATGATAGACTCATAGATCATACGATGCTAGACTCATAGATCATACGATGCTAGACTCATAGATCATACGATGCTAGACTCATAGATCATACGATGATAGACTCATAGATCATACGATGCTAGACTCATAGATCATACGATGATAGACTCATAGATCATACGATGCTAGACTCATAGATCATACGATGCTAGACTCATAGATCATACGCTAGACTATAGATCTTACGATGAGTAGACTCATAGATCATACGATGATAGACTCATAGATCATACGATGCTAGACTCATCGATCCTCCGATGCTAGACTCATAGATCATACGATGATAGACTTATAGATCATACAATGATAGACTCATAGATCATACGATGGTAGACTCATAGATAATACGATGGTAGACTCATAGATCATACGATGATAGACTCATAGATCATACGATACTAGACTCATAGATCATACGATGATAGACCTATAGATCATACGATGATAGACTCATAGATCATACGATGATAGACTCATAGATCATACGATGGTAGACTTATAGATCATACGATGATAGACTCATAGATCATACGATGATAGACTCATAGATCATACAATGCTAGACTCATAGATCATACGATGCTAGACTTATAGATCATACGATGATAGAATTATAGATCATACGATGATAGACTCATAGATCATACGATGATAGACTCATAGATCATACGATGGTAGACTTATAGATTACGGCCCTCGATAGGTGAGGTGGTCAACACCACGCCGGCCGACATTACTTCCCAAGACTTTACCTAGCAAACACTTAAAGCTGGGTAGACCTGGGACCCAAGGTCTTGTTGAAGTGGAGGGAAACAAAATCAGCCTCCATTTAGATCGGACCCATCAACCCATCGGATCCGCAGGCGAGTCTCTAGCCGCTACACCAGGGTGACTCTCAACAGAAAGTCTAAGGACAATATATTTCCATTATCAGTAAAAGAAACGTTAGTTTCCCCCACCGCCCATATAAACACTAGGTCACTTCCAACGTCTACTTTCAGCCTAGCTCACTTCTGACTGGTCGACCGTGAGCCACCCGACCTAGCCACAAGGTGACGGGGCTGTTTCCCAATGTCGCTGATATCGCGTCTTCTATATTTCAGCATTCCAGCGCCTTTAACACTACAAAAACATCGACAACTGGGTCTAACACACAACCTCTTTAGAGAGTGACGAAACCTATGTCACAGGCAGTCTCTTTCTGGGAATAAAAACGTAAATTCAAGACAACAGAGCGCCACACCCATAACTTCGACCACGGTATAGGACTAGTCCAACAAAGTTAGCAAGGGGAAGCGACCTACGTTTCCTGGGAGAGAATAATAACGTTTGATTGAACCCCATTATCCATATATTTAAAAGGGAGTCGCAGTGGCCCGCTTGCGTATCGGAAGGTCGTGGGTTCGCGTCCTGTCAGAGCCGGTCTTTTTATATTAAAAAATGTCGTAGGTCGACGCGAGTGGGCACTGGTGCAGTCATGTGAAGTAAAGGCGGTCCTTTTTTCATCTTCAATCATCCACCAAGTGCCTTTACTGGTCTATACACATATCCAGCCTTGTATTTTCCAATACGCCTAAAGGCGGGGAAAAGGGACCTTTATTTTATATTGAAAAGCAGCTGATATCTAGTGATATATATATAGATATGCATATATTATATATAATATATATAATATATACTATATATATATATATATATATATATATTACTACATGGTGGGCTATATTTTCCAATACGACCTTGAGTGTGAAAGTTCATGCGGGAAACTGGCGAGAGACCTTTCTTGCGGGCAGACTGTGATGAAAGCGACGTTCTGCAAAGGACCTGCTACATGATGATGATGATGAATTTTTTTTTGTTTTGTCAGCTGGTATAATATAAAACGATGGGCACTTCAAGGCCTTTTAAAGACCAGGACCTTACCAAATCAAAATCTGATCAACTTGCATGAACAGAGACTGTCTAAGAAGACTGAGACTTTTCTGCCCCTTACCCCAAATCACCAAAACCCCAAGCATAGCCCAGGTAGTCCACTCAGGCATGTGCTTAATAAATGTCAGGGCCACAAAGGCACTAATGACGATGAGGTAAGCTTGTTGCAGAAGAAGGGGTCCCTTCCAGTGGATGCAAAATATGCCGCCGACGCCGAAGTTCCACAACAAGAGGGACACTGTGATGTAATCCATGGGCACGTTGAAGGCGCGAAGTATCTGCCTAGAATTAAGAGAAAGTAAGCACAAATCATTGATGAATATGGTGGGGCTCTAGGCTCTACAATAAACAGAAATGGAGGACAAGTTGACGGAAATCAAAAGGAGGATGGCTAATGCGCTGCAAAGATTAAACAGCACTAAAAGTCTATGGTTAAGCACCAGCAAGGAAATCAAAATTAAATATGCATCTTCCCTGTAGCAACATACGGATGTGATTCGTGGACTGTCTGTAGCCTGTTTAGCTAACATTATCTTATAGCTTGTAGATAATAGTGATATACCTCTATATTGCCCACAGATAAAACTGGCTGTCATCCAAAAAATAACAACAAATGATGAAGAAATTGAACATGTCACAAACTTTAAATATCTAGGCTCTGTAATAAACAACAATGGAGACTGTTCGACAGAAATTAAAAGGAGGATGGCCATAGCAATGCAAAGATTAAACAGCCTTAAAAGTCTATGGTTAAGCACCAGCAAGGAGATAAAAAATTAGAATTTTGAGAGCATGCATCTTCCCTGTGGCTACATACGGATCTGAGTCGTGGACTGTCTCTCAGTTCTTAAGAAAGAGAATAGGGGCGTTTGAGCTGAAATGCTATAGAAAGATTCTCAGAATATCTTGGACAAAGAAGATGAAAAATATTGACATCTTGAAAGATCTGAACATCAAGGAAGATTGGCTAATAAACAGCATCCTTTTTCGAAAGCTGAAATATTTTGGTCATATCAAGCGCCACGACGGATTGGAAAAAAATTATAGCAGAAGGCATGGTACCAGGAAGGAGGGGCAGGGGACACGAAGATGGGCACATGATATAAGTAATTCCTTGGGTGTGAAAGTTCATGAGGCGGGAGAACTGGCGAGAGAGAGAGTTTCTTACAGGCAGACTGTGATGAGAGCGACGTTCTGCAAAGGACCTGCTACATGATGATGATGACCTCTATATTTTTTCACATTTATACTTGTCTCCTTTCTTTAAAATGGGTATTAATAATTATACTTTCCTACTCATGGGGTATTTTTTCTCCGTCTTCCAAACTAGTATTCATAAACCCATATTTGCTGCAGATTTTTACTTTTACTTTATTCACAGTTTTTAGACAGACGGAGTTCATTTGATCCCGTAGGTTCCAGTGCAAGAACATTTGTTTTGATTGATTTGATTTGATTGGATTCAAGAACCGACACCACAGCACTTGGGGCATTCCCATAAGCGCTCCGTCCCCATCTTCAACAGCCAGCAAAGAGTTCCGATACTACTGGTGCCAGTAGCATTCTGATTAAACGTCCTTCTTGCCTTTCCTCTGAGCCTCGAGCATCTGCCTGAACCTCTCGTCACCCCCCGCTGCATCAATCTCACCAGACTGTGGTGATCCATCTGCTCCTCCGAACTGTACACGCTCTCCCACAAGGCACTAACCACGTCTGCCCTATCATGTAGCAGTATTCCACCAAGTTGTGCAGAGCCAGCCAGTCTGACCGCCTGTTCATTTCCCATCACACCGGCGTGTCCCCGGTGAAAAAATCCAGACAATACTCCTCACTCGTGTCCTCCGCAGCGAGGCATGCCACTCTGCACGAAGCACACCTGTTCTGATCTTCCTCAGCATGCTTTCTGAATCAGTGTGTGTGTCGTGTTCTCTAGCCAGCGGAAAGCTGCAGTGACCGCCTCCACCTCCATTCTCAAGCTGGATGTTGTGGTATCATATGCTAGGCTCTCCTGCATCAAATGTCGACCATTAACTTTTGCTAAGAAGCCCCAAGCACTTCTTTTGCCTCTTGACACTGAACCGTCTGTGAAATGATCAAATCAGTGCAAGAACATTTCAAGATGTACTGTACATAAGGATTTCTTATACGTGCGTCCAACATCAGCATCTTTTCCTCACCTCCTGATTCACTAGGCTTTGTTTAGTTCTCTCCTAAGGAGCGGACTCAGTAAAAAAATATACAACAATACACACGATAAGTAAAGTTAAGGAACCCTTTCCACGCCTTTCAGCATACTGGGTTTATAGTCTTTTTCTTCTTCTTCTGCCTTTCTAGCCCCCAATGGAGCATAGGCCCTCAACCAACTCATGCCAAGTCGCTCCATCCTTTGTTATCGAATGCAGCTCTCCCCATGTCCTCCCCATCTTTCTAACTTCATTCTCCAGCTCTATTCTCCGTGTATTTTTTGGCCTTCCTTTATTCCTATGCCCTTTCGGGTTCCAATGCAAAGACATTCTAGTTATATTGTTCTCCTGTTTTCTCAATGTGTGTCCTATCCAACACCAGCGTATTTTTTTCACCTCTTGGTCCATTGAAGCTTGCTTAGTTCTCTTCTAAAGCTCTACATTAGTGATTCTATTATACCATTTAATTCCCTCTATTCTGCGCAGGCGACAGTTAATGAATATCTGAAGCTTATTAGTAATTGCCTTAGTTGTTGTCCTTGTTTCCGCCCCACAAAAAAGTACTGATTTGTCATCAGGATTTAGAGCGTATAGAGGGTATATAGGGCTTGACCTATATTTCATAGACCAATCAGCACTTTATGAGCGATGTGACAATATCACGTAAGCCGCCATTACTTCCCAGGTCTTTACCTGGAACCTATTTTAGGCTGGGTCAACCTGGGAGACAAAGTTCATTTTTTGAAAAATGAATCCGACTCAGTGTAGGCTTGAACCCGTGACATTCGGGCCTAGCTGCTACACCAGGGCGGCTTCCCAAATTTACATATAATGAGAAAATACTTACTGTAAGTAAACAAAGCCAAAGAAAAATAGCAGAATCACCGAAGCTATCATTAGCCATCCATTGATTATCTACAAAAGAATAATCAAACGTCAGTCACTTGGTAACTGTCAAATAAATGAGTCAACGAACTTTTTCAGACCAGTGTAAGTAAAGTAAAGTAAAGATCCCTTTTCACGCCTTTGGTCGCATCGGGCATATGGGAAGAGCACCCATATTTTTACAGACCATCGGCACTCTGTGCGTAATGTGGTCAGCATTACACCGGCTGCTTTACTTTCCCAGGACAGCCCATCCTGGTACCCATTTGAGGATGGGTCGACCTGCGAAGTCCCATACCACGATAAAAATATACGCAGCCTGCAGTGGGTTTCGATCGCGGTACGTTCGATTACGAGTCGGACTTGCAACGCCTAAGCCACGGACGCCGCCAGACCAGTGTAGTATCGGCTGTATCTTCTTCTTTATTTTCATCATGTGAGACATTAATTCTTTATTCACTCATTGTGTATGTGTCTATGGTTGTGTATCTGTGTGTGTATGTGTCTGCGTGAGCATCAGCGTGTGTGTGAGTGTGTATGTGTCTGCGTGAACATCAGCGTGTGTGTGAGTGTGTTTGTGTGTCTGCGAGTGTGTCTGTTTGCATTTATCTGTGTGTGTCTGCGTCTGTGTGTGTTTGTGCATGTATTTATGTGTGTCCGCGCATGTGTGTATCTGTGTGTGTCTGCGTCTGTGTGTGTTTGTGCTTGTATTTATGTGAGTCCGCGCATGTGTGTATCTGTGTGTGTGTTTGTGTCAGTACGCTCATGTGTGTCTGCGTTTGTTTCAGTGGGTGTGTCTGTGTGTGTATATGTATGTATGTGTGTGTGGAATGTGCGTGTATGTGCGGGTAGGTAGGTATGTATATGGGCGAATGGAGGTGTGTTTATGTGTGTGTGTGAAGGTATGTGGGTGTGTAAATATGCGTGTTTAAGTGAGAGTGTGGGCATGTGTGTGTGTCTGTGCTCTAGTTTGTGCATGCATTTTACCACCCATGCTTTTGTGTTTTTCCAACGTGATATTCAAAACACGCATTTTATCATATGAATATAACATGCTTATTGATAAAATTCAACTACAGTGTGAAAAACGGGTGTTTGGAAGGGCTGAATGTAAGATGGGCCTGCGTGCCCAATTTGTGACCCTTTGAAAACAAAGTTCTTTCGTTCGTTCGTTCTCCTTGCCAGTGGCTTTAAGATAGAAATGGTACAGGTCTCTACGCAGTCTGTGGTTGCATGCATCTATTCCACTGATCTAGACAGCTTCGTTTCCATTGGAATGCCAACCAGCCTAACCTTGAATGTTGAATGAAGAATCGACATCATAGCACTAGGGACACTCCCATAAGCGCTCCGTCCCCATCTTCAGCAGAAGCAAAGAGTTCCAATTACGATGGTACCGGTAATAGTCTGATTATACATCAATCTCGCCTATACCGTGAGGGTTGAGCGTCGGCCTGATCCCCTGTTAACTCCGCGCAGCATCATTCTCCTCAGACCGTAATAATCTGTTTGTGCCTCCACACTGTTCACTCGCTCCCCAAGGGCTCTCACAACATCTAGCTTGACATGCATCAGTTCACCACTAAATGGTGCAGAACCAGCCAGTCTATCTGCTCGTTTCCCAACACACCAGCATCATCATCATGTAGCAGGTCATTTGCAGAACCTCGCTCTCATCACAGTCTGCCTGTAAGAAACTCGGTCTCTTGCCAGTTCTCCCGCCTCATGAACTTTCACACTCAAGGAGTCACTTATATCCCGTGCCCATCTTCGTGTCGGTCGGCCCCTGCCCCTCCTTCCTGGTACCATGCCTTCTGCTATAATATTTTCCAGTCCGTCGTGGCGCTTGATATGACCAAAATATTTCAGCTTCCAAGAAAGGATACTGTTTATTAGCCAATCTTTCTTGATGTTCAGATCTTTCAAGATGTCAGTATTTCTCATCTTCTTTGTCTAAGATATTCTGAGAATCTTTCTATAGCATTCAGCTCAAAAGCCCCTATTCTCTTTCTTAAGGACTGAGAGATAGTCCACGACTCACATCCGTGTGTAGCCACAGGGAAGATGCATGCTCTCAAAATTCTAATTTTTATCTCACACCAGCATACCTGTAGAAAATATACAAAAGTCGCTAACTACCTGGGACCTTAAAAGCGAAGCTTGCCACTCTGCATAGAGTATGCCTGTCTCTACCTTTCTCAATATACTCTGTGAGTCGGTTATAATAACTGGCCCACCCTGGGATTTCTCAACTAGCATTACAGTTAGGAATTGAATGGTGTCATAGTTTTCAGGTTCGGCTGTGATACCTCTTAAGTCTGTCTGCGTCTGTGAGCTCGGCACCTCCGACTTTAGCGCGCCTTTCTGTTAGAAAGAGCTTCCTGAGATGGACTGATGTAGTCAGCTGACGAGCTTCATCTTCCCGATCGGCCAGATGATGCTAAATATATCTTGATAAAGCATACAGCACTCGATAGGTAATGTGGCTAACATAAGGCCGGCCACCTTTTCTTCCATATTAGGTTTAGCTGACCTGGAAGCAGGGGTCAGCAATAATAAATCATCCACCGGGTATGGATTTAAACCTAAGACCTTCGGATTGGCAGGCATGTGTCTTTTCACTGGGCCACTTTGGCTCTCTGGTAATACCATAAACTGATTTAAAGTTTTTAATATTTTGGCTCAGTGATTACTAACAATGGTGACACAATAAAAGAAATTAAACGACGAGTATCAGTTGCTCTTCAAAGACTTAAACAAAGGAAAGAATTATAGAGTGGGACAGACAGAACTACAAAAATTAGATCTTTTAGAGCATGCATCTTTCCCATTGCAACATACGCCTGTGAAACCTGGACACTTACTATACAAGCTGAACAGCGCATAAATGCCATTAAATACAAATATAGACGGGTTCAAAGAACATCACGGGCAAAGAAAAGAACAAATGCATCTATACTACAAGTACTGAATACTGATGAAGGTTGGCTATTTAAAAAAAAAAAAAGTAAAGTTCCCTTTTCACGCCTTTTGGCGCATCGGGCATATGGGTAGAGCGTCCCATATTTTTACAGACCATCAGCACTCTGTGGGTAATGTGGTCAGCATTACGCCGGCTGTCTTTACTTTCCCAGGACACCCATCCTGGTACCCATTTGAGGCTGGGTCGACCTGCGACGTCCCATACCACGACAAAAATCCACGCAGCCTGCAGTGGGTTTCGATCGCGGTATGCTAAAATGCGAGTTACACTCGCAATGCTTTAGCCACGGACGCCGCGTAGGTTGGCTATTAAAGACAATAAAACACAGAAAATTGAAATATTTTGGTCACTTGAAACGTCATGAAAGTTTAGAAAGAACAATAATGGAGGGGTATATGCATGGGAAGAGAGGAAGAGGACGGCCAAAGAGAAGATGGGTGCAGGATATGGCGGATGATCTCCAGATGGGTGTATGGATGCTGGAGTTCTTGCTTGTGATCGAGTTTTCCGGAGGGTTGTTATGGGAGCAAGGTTATGCAAAGGGAGGCTACTGACTGAATGACTGAAAGTACTCAGAAAGCCAGACTGTAGATTGTGCCGACATTGTTAATGCCCTAAGAGAGATAGGACAATTGGAGGATTGAAGAGCAATGTTTACGTCACTGCTAAAAATGCGAGAATTAGAAGTAAAGATCGGCACAGCCAGGCATAAGAGGCACACCAGACAAACAAGACATTTTGTCTACCCGCTTAGGACTGGTACCATTAACCGCGGGACGATGTACATGTTAAAGGGGGAATCTAACCACCTATAGTGCGTGTAAGGAGTGCAGTGACTCATAATACAGAAAGAAAAACCTGGCAGAGAACCCAACGTTAACTAGATTACAGTCCTATCTGCAGGGGTACTATTTCTCTTCCTTCTGCCCTTTACATATCTTGGGCTTCTAGTTCTGTAACATCTGCCTTTGTTATATGTTGGGCTTCTAGTTCTGTAACATCTGCCTTTGTTATATGTTGGGCTTCTAGTTCTGTACCATCTGCCTTTGTTATATGTTGGGCTTCTAGTTCTGTACCATCTACCTTTGTTATATGTTGGGCTTCTAGTTCTGTACCATCTACCTTTGTTATATGTTGGGCTTCTAGTTCTGTACCATCTACCTTTGTTATATGTTGGGCTTCTAGTTCTGTAACGTCTGCCTTTGTTATATGTTGGGCTTCTAGTTCTGTAACGTCTGCCTTTGTTATATGTTGGGCTTCTAGTTCTGTAACATCTACCTTTGTTATATGTTGGGCTTCTAGTTCTGTACTATCTACCTTTGTTATATGTTGGGCTTCTAGTTCTGTAACGTCTGCCTTTGTTATATGTTGGGCTTCTAGTTCTGTAACGTCTGCCTTTGTTATATGTTGGGCTTCTAGTTCTGTACCATCTGCCTTTGTTATATGTTGGGCTTCTAGTTCTGTACCATCTACCTTTGTTATGTGTTGGGCTTCTAGTTCTGTACCATCTACCTTTGTTATATGTTGGGCTTCTAGTTCTGTACCATCTACCTTTGTTATATGTTGGGCTTCTAGTTCTGTAACGTCTGCCTTTGTTATATGTTGGGCTTCTAGTTCTGTAACGTCTGCCTTTGTTATATGTTGGGCTTCTAGTTCTGTAACGTCTGCCTTTGTTATATGTTGGGCTTCTAGTTCTGTAACATCTACCTTTGTTATGTGTTGGGCTTCTAGTTCTGTACCATCTACCTTTGTTATATGTTGGGCTTCTAGTTCTGTAACGTCTGCCTTTGTTATATGTTGGGCTTCTAGTTCTGTAACGTCTGCCTTTGTTATATGTTGGGCTTCTAGTTCTGTAACTTCTGCCTTTGTTATATGTTGGGCTTCTAGTTCTGTAACATCTGCCTGTTATATGTTGGGCTTCTAGTTCTGTAACATCTGCCTTTGTTATATGTTGGGCTTCTAGTTCTGTACCATCTACCTTTGTTATATGTTGGGCTTCTAGTTCTGTACCATCTACCTTTGTTATATGTTGGGCTTCTAGTTCTGTACCATCTGCCTGTTATATGTTGGGCTTCTAGTTCTGTACCATCTGCCTTTGTTATATGTTGGGCTTCAAGTTCTGTACCATCTACCTTTGTTATATGTTGGGCTTCTAGTTCTGTACCATCTGCCTTTGTTATATGTTGGGCTTCTAGTTCTGTACCATCTGCCTGTTATATGTTGGGCTTCTAGTTCTGTACCATCTACCTTTGTGATATGTTGGGCTTCTAGTTCTGTACCATCTGCCTGTTATATGTTGGGCTTCTAGTTCTGTACCATCTGCCTTTGTTATATGTTGGGCTTCTAGTTCTGTACCATCTGCCTGTTATATGTTGGGCTTCTAGTTCTGTACCATCTGCCTGTTATATGTTGGGCTTCTAGTTCTGTACCATCTGCCTGTTATATGTTGGGCTTCTAGTTCTGTACCATCTGCCTGTTATATGTTGGGCTTCTAGTTCTGTACCATCTGCCTGTGTTATATGTTGGGCTTCTAGTTCTGTACCATCTACCTTTGTTATATGTTGGGCTTCTAGTTCTGTACCATCTGCCTGTTATATGTTGGGCTTCTAGTTCTGTAACGTCTGCCTTTGTTATATGTTGGGCTTTTAGTTCTGTACCATCTGCCTTTGTGATATGTTGGGCTTCTAGTTCTGTACCATCTGCCTGTTATATGTTGGGCTTCTAGTTCTGTACCATCTGCCTGTTATATGTTGGGCTTCTAGTTCTGTACCATCTGCCTGTTATATGTTGGGCTTCTAGTTCTGTACCATCTACCTTTGTTATATGTTGGGCTTCTAGTTCTGTGCCATCTGCCTGTTATATGTTGGGCTTCTAGTTCTGTACCATCTGCCTGTTATATGTTGGGCTTCTAGTTCTGTACCATCTGCCTGTGTTACATGTTGGGCTTCTAGTTTTGTACCATCTGCATTTGTTACATGTTGGGCTTCTAGTTTTGTAGCATTTGCCGCTGTTATATGTTGGGCTTCTAGTTCTCTACCATCTGCTTTTGCTACACGTGTGCTTTGAGTTATGTCCCATATGCGTTTGTTACTTGTTAGGCTTCTAATTCTGTCTCGTCTACCTTTTCTTTTTTCACAGGAAGGAGGAAGAGGAGAAGAAGAATGAGGAGAAGTAGAAGAAGAAGGGGAGAATAGAACAAAATCGGCTAATCAACACAACAGTCATGAAAACTGTCATTAACCTATGTATTCACCACCTGACTTACTTTATAGAATCTGAACGTGTATAGTGTCAGCAAGACTAATGTCATGACAATAATGAGACACAACAAGATCATAGCATTAGCCGTTGACTGCCACACGATGGTGGTTGTATCTTCAGTCTTGTCATGGAAGGGAGTGTAGACACTGAAACCACATACAACCTAAGTTAGCTTATGAGTTGAGTGCATGGCGTAACACTGTGAGCTGGGGATTTAATTTTAACTATGATAAATATTTTATGTGTTTTTCGTTGGCACAGGAGCGGAGCAACTATGGGGTGATCCGTTTGCTATGAAGCTGAAATTAAGATTACCAGATTACCAGATTAACGTAGGTAATTCTAATTACAACATGCGTGTATCCATCAAGATAATGATGACCACTTTTTTGAATCAAGTATGAGTACGAAGATGACTGATGAGGCCGACGCGGGCCCGAAAGGTTCTTGGACAGTGAGGACAGGGAATGAGCGTTGTGCCAGGGAGGGGATCTCCTGCAGTCGCCTTTCTGCCCATCTTTTTCTTAATCAGTCTTGCTGTTCTGTTTGCTTCACATGTAGCCGCACCCTTGTGTAGAGCTGCACGCCATGCATTTCTGTCTTGAGAGGCAGCCTCCCAATTGCTGTCATTCATCCCAAATGCTTTGAGTGAAGACTTCAAGGTGTCCTTGAAGCGTTTCTTTTGCCCGCCCTGGGAACGTTTCCCATTTTGAAGCTCACCATAGAAGAGTTATTTTTGGAGCCTGTAATCTGGCATGCGTAATTAATTACAACATAAAACACGACTAGACAGCTCAATGGGGCGAATGCAAAAGGCGCGCACAAATACAGCCTAACGTTTTGACCAAAGTCTTAGATTTGGCTGGCACCTTTCCGTCTTTCCAGATGATAGTGTTATATGGCTCTATGATGAGGCTGGGGACTCACAGCTCATGGCAATGGCGAGTGCGACTCCCCCGCGCTTAGAAAAGTCTTCCACAATTATTGCATGGTATTTCATGACCATTGTGGTAAACATTTGTTTTAGTGTGTTTCTAAGCTTACCGGTACTGCAAGAGATGATGATGATGATGATGATTATAATGATAATGATGATGATGATGTTAATGATGAGGATGACGATAATGATGATGATGATGATCATGACAACGACGACGATGATGATGATGATGATGATGATGATGATGATGATGATACAGACACACTTTGTGACACAGACACAGACGAAAGAAGAAAGGCATCAATAATTATGATCCACAACACAGGACTACAGGTTATTTTGTTTTGTGTTGCCCCAGTATAACTAGGCTGTGTGTGTGTGTGTGTGTGTGTGTGTGTGTGTGTGTGTGTGTGTGTGTGTGTGTACACACATACAAGTATAGGGGTGATCAAAGCCTACAGGATTTGTAACTGCTCAAGTCTCGTCATTGAGATGACGTTAAGATTTGTACAAGGTTATGCGGGTGTTCAAGGTAACGAGCGTGCAGATTATCTTGCTGACACTGCGGTTGCTGAGGCTGGTCCAGTACTGGGCAGAAACGATATTATCAATGCCATGTGCAGCGTTCACCGTGACGACGAGCACGCCAAAAGACATGACTCCGTATCCCTGTCTAGACTGATGGACATAGGGGTGCAGTCTGGAGTTGCAGGAGATGAACATTTCACGAAGGGGACAAGACGTTACATTAATCAACAAAGAACAGGCGTCGTCAGTTGTTTTTCACTTGTGGAGCTTTTGAGATCCCTGTGGATTTGTCCGGAGCACTGTGACGATAATCCTTACTAATCCCTAATTAGGATATTAGCTAATCCTACAAAACGCAGATCTAGAGGGGTAACATTTAAAAACAGAAAACAAACAACGATTCCTACTTACAAATACACATTTGTCTCACTGTAGTAGGAGACCGATGCGATAGTTGCCACAACTACGATCATGCAAAGGGTAACTGGTACAAACAGCATGATCATATGTCTAGAACCTTGCACAAAAGCCTCCTCTTCCTCTTGATGGGTAATATCATGTTTGGATATATAACCAGACGACGACTTTTTCTTGCTTTGAATGTGACTTTTCCTTCCTTTATCTTGATTCCTATTTGTGTTTATGTTCAGGAGTGAAGCCTCGTCACTCATTTCCTCCTCGCTTGTCTCTATTTTCTAGGAATTCCAAAAGAGAAACTTTAGTTTACACATATCAACAGGCTAACGTGAAACATATCATCAGATGGAAAATGTGTGACAGAGATAAAAAGCAGAATAGGTCAAGCAAAAGCTGCATTTCAGAAAATGAAAAATATCTTCTGCAATAAATTGCTCTCATTTAACGTCAGAAAGAGGGTGCTAAAATGTTACATAAAACCTGTTCTGCTGTATTGCAGCGAATCTTGGAATGTCACTGAACAAATGAAGAGGAATTTGAAGCAACAGACATGTGGTTTTTGAGACGAATGTTACGAATACCTTGGACGGATAGAGTAACTAACAACGAGTGCTTGAAAGAGGTTATTGAAAGTAGATCTCTATAAACGGTTAGTTGCGTATCCTTTACAGGACGTTGCAGAACAAACCCAAACAGTCCCTGGCTGTTGTGTGGTTTCTCTAGGCAAATTTACGTCCAGTAGTTTGCCAATGCTTTCTGGACGGTCAGCCCCCTGATACCACTGTCGAAACCAACGCAAGGCGCATAGCCCGCAGCTGGGATCGAACCCGGCACCCCGGTTTTACGAAGCGTTCACATCGACTTAGCCACAGAGCCGAAAAGACTTGGAATTAAAATACAGTCGATGAACGAATTTTAAAATGTGGACAATTTAACTATTTCGGCTCATTCAAAGAAAACACTCGTTTAAAACTGTTCAAACATGATCGGCTCCTGCTGATGGGCCGTGCTGCTGACGTCACCGGATCGGGCTAACGTTGCCTTAACGCAGCGGTTCTCAAACAAAAAATAAAATATTTTCGACAGTGGCGAGGCAAGACAACTTAAATTTAACTTTTAAGTATCTTCATGCCTTCTTTAATAATTTCACAATTTTAAGCCGAATTTTCTCGATTATTGCCGCAGCACCCCTGGAATAGGCTCAGGGCACCCCAGAGTGTCTCGAACCCAGTGTGAGAACCGCTGCTTTAACGCATCGTTAGCCCGACCTAGTGACGTCAGCAGCACGGCGTGTCAGATGGAGCCGGTCATAGTTCAAACCATACTGGATAGGGAAAATTTGAAGGCCAGATGGGAAGAGAACGAGAATAATACAAGCTGGATAACAACATCAGTAGTAAAGCGTTCTTCGGATCCACTGATTTTTAGGATTTAGGATTAAAGATTTTCAGGAATAAGGATTGAAGATTTTCAGGATTGAGAATTGAAGATTTCTGCTTGCGGATAGCGGGTTGACTGTGATGTGGAAAATGTGAGCTGTGGATACGGATTTTCCGGAACTTTTCCCCTATGTTTAACTCGCGGTCAATCCGCAAAGCCAAAACGCAGATCTGTACAATCCGTACCCACAGCTTACATTTCCCACATCACAGTCAACCCGCTATCTGCAACCAGAAATCTTCAAGCCCCAATCCTGAAAATCTTTAATCCTAAATCCTGAAAATCGGTGGATCCGAAGCACGTCTTACTACTAACATCCAGCGACTTGAGTGGACAGCTGCCTTAGAATGTGTACTACCAAGACAAGAGACACATTGTATTGGAGATCCATTGCAGTCAACCTTAACTGGAAGACGGCATCTGAATGATTGATTAGAACATGAATCAATAATAACAGCATCCCAGACTCACTTTCAGCATGTTGTCATGCTCTTCTGATCTCCTACATCGTTGGAGAAGCTGGTGCATGACACATCCATCTCCAGCGTCCAGACTGTTACACATCAAAGCACCTGTTTCTGCGGATGAGCTCTCCATTGCAAACGAATATCTACTGGTACTGGTTGCACAAAAAACCCTACAGTTCTCAAGGCAAGGGCACAAATAAAGACTGTAAAGAAACGAAAAATAAGATTAATCTAAGTCAATCGTCTCCCTGTGTTGGTTTTGTCCCCCCATTTTAGGTAGAAAAGACCCCATGTCCCCTCAAAACAGTGAGTCGTAAAATTCTACAAATTATAGGTATTTATTTCGAAGTTGCAGTGCCTCTGCACGAGAGGCACAGAACCAACCAACAATCTGCACGCAAATAAGCCAGATCCATGAAATAGATTTACACGCAAAACTCACTCTCTGGAACAAGTCTAAAGTCCAGAGGTGGACAAGCAACCAGAACATTCTTCCGCAATTTACAACAGATGAACGCTAAGGAGAAGAGGAGGAAGAAGAAGAAGAAGAAGAAAAAAGAAGAAGAATACCTTGGTCTTTATTATCACACACATCTATAATTGGGGTAGCCAGATTTTTTAGTATCTTCTGACTAAAGTTTAAAATTAGGAGAATACATTATGCGGTTGCAAAAAATGGGGCCGGGGGGGGGGGGGGGGGCAAGGAATAGAGCCTTTCACGCACCAGGTGTTACTTGGGACTAAAAGAGTTAAAGGTAGCGGCTCGTTGGCAGCTCCATTACAGAGGTGTCTACCCCAAATGCAAATAACCCAACACCGTTAAAGCATACAGATCAGCCTTTAATGTAATTACAACAAGCACAGGGTAGTTTGCCTCAAGACACAATCCGCGTTACGAGCCCCGTCACACACCTGCCGGGGTGCTTTACAGTCGCCAACCTCTCACTGGCCTTAGGGTTGCTAACAGGGTCTGAACCAGCAGTCTCTGATACAAGCTCTTCCCCAAACCCTCACAACTTACACCTCAACTGCGACTACTCTGCGTGGATCTGGGTAGCCATTAAAAACCGACCATAACATCGCGATCAGAATGTTACTGGCACTATTAGTATTGAAACTCTTCGCTGGCTGCTGAAGAAAGGGACGGATCGCTTGCGGGAATGCCCCGAGTGCTGTGATGTCGGTTCTTGAATCAAATCAAATCAAATCAATCCTGTCACCGCGCTGAGTCGCCTGAATACAATGCCCACGATATCATGCTGTTCTTCATCTTATACGGACAAAGCCACTTTTCAAACAATCGTGCTAATACACAGACTACCAATGAACAGTAGTACTTCAGCCAACTAGCCTAATCACACTGAACTATCTCTACAGAAGTTAAATTACCTGTACCGTTATACTAGCACTAAACACTTCCTAAACCGTTGCTAAGAGTCCGAATGGTAAACAACTATACAACTCTAGCCGTCAAAAACAAAACGTCACAGTGGAGGTTCTGGACCTATGACGACGTTCCAGAAGAAATTCATATGACTGTATTTGAATAAGTGGGAAATTCGTTTTTATACAAATCAACAGATGTGAGTATCTGGGGGACAAATTTAGTACTGTACAATCCACAGAAGTTTATCAGTTAACCCTTAACATACTCTTTTATTAACTTCAGTGGAACAGTGGAAGACATACATCGAAGACTTCATTGAGGCCTGTGGCCCTGTGAACTTCTCATCTAAACTCTGAAAACTCCTGGCAGGAGGACGAAAAGAAATCTAATGAGTGCTTTCCACCGAGCGATGGACCACAAATTATTCAGTTAATCAGGCTGCATTAACTAACACTAATGAGTAAAGTAAAAGTCCCTTTTCCACGCCTTTAGGGCTAGACCTATATTTTTTTTTTATAGACCAATCGACACAAGATGGGTGATGTGGTCAGCATCACGCCGGCCGCCTCTTCTTCCGGGGACTGCGCCCGGTACCCACTCAAGGTTGGCTGGACCTGGGAGTCAAGGTCATTTTTTTTTAAAGTCCGGCTTCGACCGGGAGCAAACCCACGACCTTCCGATCCCGCATGCGAGCGTCTAGCCGCTATGCCTTGGCGACTGCCAACACTGATGAATAATTTAAAAAATGCTGACTACAATAATAAGTAGGAAACAGTTTTACAAATAATAGTAACAGCTGATCTAAACGTTAGTTAAAAACTGCTAGTAACAAGTACTACATAGACTAGCTTAGGTTTGCTATACGTCTTTATTTTGGTGGACACGGCCTCATTTTACGAGTAAACGAGCGTTCGCAAACACTTTTTAACATTCATAAATTTGTCCGCAATTTTACAAGCCTCATTCGGCGGAAAAACTATTTTACTCTATGCCCAACATGCCACTGAGAGATATCATCTTAGTTCGGATTCAGTTAACTAAGTCAATTTCACTTATAAAATTTAATTTAAAAAATTTCAACGCAGGCGATTTAATGGGCATTTGATGCAAACGAAAATTATTTTTAAAAAAAAATCACTACATTTGAGGTTATCAGAAAAGTATATATGGAATACAGTTTAAATAGAATTAAATGTTATAAATGTCATTATTTCGGCTCTCTGGGTTCAAATGGACATTGCAACAATTCACGCTCAGGTGATCTGATTATCTATACAGATGGTTCAGTGTTGAGAGGAAAGAGAAGCTCCTGGGTGTTGGTAGCGACAGCCAATGGAAAGTCTTTAGTGCAAGACAGCATACATCACAACATCTAGCATGAGAATGGAGGTGGAGGCGGTAACTGCATCTCTTCGAAGACTAGAGAACAAGATGCATACACATGTCGTAATTGTAACAGACTCTGAAGGTATGCTGAGAAAAATGAAGACAGGGATGCTTCGAGCAGAGTGGCAAGCTTTACTGGGAAGGTCACGGGTAGTGAGCATACTTTCGATCTTTTCTCCAGGCTATGCCGGCGTAGTGGGTAAAGAACATACTGACAGATTGGCTGGATCTGCACCACTGGGTGGTGAAATGATGCATGACAGGGCAGATGTTGTCAAGGTCCTTTTGGAACAAGTAACGAAATCAGTAGAGAAAGAAGATTATTATGGCCTCGAGAGAATGCCCTGAGTGTTGTAATGTCAATTCTTGACTCAGCTCAACACAACTCAAATGGACATTGTAACAGAGAAACCACACGCTGAGAGACTAATTCAGCGTGGAGTGACTAGAGGTTTTGGAAGACATTCAACACTGAGGGGGAAACATAGGCGGACTTTTCTTTTCATCCTGTGGCAACTGGTACACTATTAGCTTTTCGATTCTTCGTTGACTACTGAAAAAGGGGATGGAGCAAGCGTGGTAATGTCCCGAGTGTAGAAATGTCCCGAGCGTGGGAATGTCCCTAGCGGGGTAATGTCCCGAGTGTGGGAATGTCCCGAGTGTGGGAATGTCCCGAGTGTGGGAATGTCCCTAGCGGGGAATGTCCCGAGTGTGGGAATGTCCCGAGCGTGGGAATGTCCCGAGTGTGGAAATGATCCGAGCGTGGGAATGTCCCTAGTGTGGGAATGTTCCGAGTGTGGGAATGTCCCGAGTGTGGAAATGATCCGAGCGTGGGAATGTCCCTAGTGTGGGAATGTTCTGAGTCTGGGAATGTCCTGAGCGTGGGAATGTCCTTAGCGGGTAATATCCCGAGTGTGGGAATGTCCCGAACGTGGGAATGTCCTTAGTGTGGAAATGATCCGAGCGTGGGAATGTCCCTAGTGTGGGAATGTTCCGAGTGTGGGAATGTCCCGAGTGTGGAAATGATCCGAGCATGGTAATGCCCCTAGTTTGGGAATGTCCCGAGTGTGGGAATGTTCAGAGTGTGGGAATGTCCCTAGCGGATAAAATCCTGAGTGTGGGAATGTCCCTAGCGTGGGAATGTCCCGAGTGTGGGAATGTCCCTAGCGTGGGAATGTCCTGAGCGTGGGAATGTCTCGAGCGTGGGAATGTCTCGAGTGTGGGAATGTCTCGAGTGTGGGAATGTTCTGAGTGTGGGAATGTTCTGAGTGTGGAAATGTCCAGAGTGTGGGAATGCCCGAGTGTGGGAATGTCTCGAGTGTGGGAATGTCTAGAGTGTGGGAATGTCTCGAGTTTGGAAATGTCCAGAGCGTGGGAATGTCCCGAGTGTGGGAATGTCTCAAGTGTAGGAATGTCTCGAGTGTGGGAATGTCCCGAGTGTGGGAATGTCTCGAGTGTGGGAATGTCCAGAGTGTGGGAATGTCCCGAGTGTGGGAATGTTCTGAGTGTGGGATGTCCCGAGTGTGGGAATGTCTCCGAGTGTGGGAATGTCCCGAGTGTGGGAATGTCTCGAGTGTGGGAATGTCCCGAGTCTGGAAATGTCCAGAGTGTGGGAATGTCTCGAGTGTGGGAATGTCTCGAGTGTGGGAATATCCAGAGTGTACGAATGTTCTGAGTGTGGGAATGTCTCGAGTGTGGGAATGTCCCGAGTGTGGGAATGTCCCGAGTGTCAGAGTGTGGGGAATGTCCCGGGTGTCAATCTTGTGGGAATGTCCCTGGTGTGGGAATGTCAGCGTGGGAATCCCGAGTCATGTCAATCTTTGAATTCATCAGAATGATCAGGGTAAACCCAGAGGCTACAACAGCCAGTGCAATTCATTATTATCATCAATGGAAAGACATTCAACACTGAGAAAGAAAACATAGGCGGAATTTTATTTTCATCCTGTGGCAACTGGTATACTATTAGCTTTTCGATTCTTCGTTGACTGCTGAAGAAGGGGATGGAGCAAGCGTGGAAATGTCCCGAGTGTTGGAATGTCCCGAGCGTAGGAATGTCCATAGCGCACTGTTGGCAGGGACAGTTTGCGATCCATTGCCAGATGGGCAGCAATGGCTATCATTACGTGTCGATGACGATGTTTAACTTCCAGTGCACCCTATTACCAATTAAAATTAAATTACAGATGTTAGCATAGTAGCAGGGGGACAAGAACACTATATTTTAACTCGCTGAACACAATAGATACCAATATTCTTTAACACTGTATCATGGACCTTTAGAGCTGATCGTTGAACAGTTGAAGAACTTTGGCCAAAACTGTTTGGACCGGAGTGGCCAGGTACGTTTCCATCTG